TGCCATCTTCTGTTACCTGGCCACTGTCCCAAAATGAGCACAGCTCACCAAGTGTTCAGTGGTCTTCCTCAGCCAAAGGAGTTTTTTGTTGTTGTTTTTTCTTTTTCTTTTCTTTTTTTTTTTTTTTTTTTTGAGACATAGTTTCACTCTTGTTTCCCAGGCTGAAGTGCAATTTCAGCTCACTGCAACCTCTGCCTCCCGGTACAAGTGATTCTCCTGCCTCAGCCTCCTAAGTAGCTGGGATTACAGGCATGAGTGCCACCATGCCTGGCTAATTTTTTTTTTTTTTTTGTATTTAGTAGAGACAGGGTTTCACCATGTTAGTAAAGCTGTTTCGAACTCCTGATCTCAGGTGATACACCCACTTCAGCCTCCCAAAGTGCTGCGATTACAGGCGTGAGCCACCACGTCTAACCAAGGACTTTTTTTTTTTTTTTTTACCAAGGACTTTCAAACTTTATTTTCACTTGAATGCAGCCATCTTCCTTATAGACCCAGGCTAATTTCTGTGGGGCTTTCCTTGCTAACTGGCTTAGCCATTACTAAGCATAGGTCAGTATGAACAATAAATAAATTATTTAAAATGCTTCTGTTTGAAATTATTTCCTAAGAAATAAATATCATTTATAATGTTGCCAAGCAGACAACTGGTATACAACAAAACAGAAGTTTGCCTAACCGAATCAGTGTTGTCATTAATGTAGATAAAATTGTGTTTGGAACACTTTCTCCATAAAAACTTGCTGAGGACAATACCTTTAAAAATTCGGTATCATTTAGGAATTCTTCCTAATTTTATGGAATCACATGTTCCCTATGAGATAAGAACCAGGTATGAATTTTTTTCAAAGGGAATTTCCTGCAATTTAAAAAAAAAACCAACATTGAACAAAAAACCATATTCCTATATTCTCCTTGTTAGTATCCAAATAAACATATAATTAAGAATGCCTAGTAATGGAAGAAGAATCTATCTTCTGTCTTATTTATATTCCCAGCACATTGTCAGAAAGAAGTAAAAAGCTGCCAACAATTATCTGTATCTCGTAGAAATGCTTTTTACATGTGATAATATTTATAAAGAGCATTTTTTAAAATTCCTACTAATATAAAGGTTACTAAGCCCAACTATTGGTAAAATGTGCTTTCAACCTTAGAATATACTTAAGCAATCAAATGAGCTTCTCAGGCAAAATCCAGGACAGAAGTATCTGAGGAAGTCACACTGATAGGAGAATAGGAGAAATTTTAATCTAACCCCCCACTGTTTTACCTTATTGTTAAGGTAAAAATAATGGAAATTGAAATGCAGGTCAAAACTGCAATGAGCTATCATAGTTCCCATTTGATTAGCAAAATCAACACTGACAATACCAAGTGCTGCAAAGGATAAGGAGCCACAGAATCTCTTTTTCATGACTGGTGGGAATATAAATTTGTGCAACTGCTTTGGGGAACAGTTTGGCATTACATAAGATGAACATTCAGAATTCTCTACAACCCAGCAATTATACCCAAGAAAAATTCCTGCACACATACAAGAATTTTTGGAGTCACCCATCATCAGGAAAGCGCATAAGTAAAAGGTGCTACATTTGCACCCGGGACTTTATACAATAGTCAAAATAAGTCCCATAAAAAATATACTCTATATATTAGAAACCCTTTAAAAAAATAAGGTTAAAGATGACTGCATAGCCGGGTGCAGTGGCTCACGCCTATAATTCCAGTATTTTGGGAGGCTGAAGTGGGTGGATCACTTGAGGCCAGGAGTTTGAGACCAGCCTGACCAATGTAGTGAAACCTTGTTTACTAAAAATACAAAAAAAAATTAGCTGGGCATGATAGTGCACGTCTGTGATCCCAGCTACTTGGGAGGCTGAGGCATGAGAATCACTAGAACCTAAGAGTGAGATGGTGTAGTAAGCCGAGATCATGCCACTGCGCTCTAGCCTGGGCAACGGTACAAGACTCTGTCTCAAAAAAAAATTCAGTAAAAAAAATGGGCTCTTAAAAATTATGTCTAGATGAGATAAAACTAAATAAAATGGGCCAAAAGGGGGACAATGACCAGGACTTGGAATGGTGGCTATCCTGGAGGAGGGGAGGCCAGAAGATGGGATGGGATGGCAGGGAGCACAAGAAATAGGTGCCCACATTTGCTCCAAACACCAGCTTCACTTAGTTAAAAACTTAAAAGTTGGCCAGGTGCAGTGGCTCACACCTGTAATCCCAGCACTTTGGGAGGCTAAAGCAGGCAGATCACGAGGTTAGGAATTTGAGACCATTCTGGCCAACATGGTGAAACCCTGTCTCTACTAAAATACAAAAAATTAGCCAGGTATGGTGGTACGCATCTGTAATCCCAGCTACTTGGGAGGCTGAGACAGGGGAATCACTTGAACCTGAGAGACAGAGATTGGAGTGAGCTAAGATCATGCCACTGCACTCCAGCATGGCAACAGAGCGAGACTCAGTCTCAAAAAAAAATTAAAAAGTTGAGTGGTCTTTCCAAAAGGGAAGTTAGTAAGAGAAGTAGCTCTGATTCCTTCTCCACCAACCACACTGCCCAGCAGCTTAGCTTGACTCTACCATCCCCTAAGGAAAAGAGATCAAAGAGATCGTGAATTTAAAAATGATTTCACTCTGTTTCCAACTCAGAAGCACCCTAATCTTGCCTTTATCCCCAGCCGCACCCACTTGGCCAACTACTGAGAGCTGAGTGTCTGGAGAGGGTTGGAGGAGATAACACACATGCGTGGCTCTGGGTACAGGTGGAGCATCTGAGAACCCACCCCGCTGCTGTCAGGGCTATGTGACAGACCTGGAGGATGCTCATTCCTTGATCCCAGCTGGCAGGATGGCCTGTTCTAGAAGTGGGGGATTCAGATCAGAAGTGGGGACAGGAGAGCAGTGTCAAACATCTGAAGTGGTGATCCCAACTGTACCTCAGAAGGGCCTAGTTCCCCTTTCCTGGTCAACCTTGCATGGAATGAAATGAGGGCACAGGGTCGGATAAACGTCAGGAGTCATTCATTCCACTCAGGTGCAGTCAGCAACAATCTGATCTACCTTAGAATCTCGAAAAGTCCGAAAAGGAAATTGCAGAGCTGGACTGTGACACACACACACACACAGGAAATTTGTTCCTACTCCCTCCTCCCCCAACACTAGCATTTATCTTCACAACATTATCAGCAAGCAGCAAGAATTTTTCTTAGTTACCCAGAGAATCTGCATAGTTGAGATTACTTTGAAATGTCAACTGTCTACATGTATTATTTTAAGAAAAGAAGAGAGACATCTTTGCTCTTCCAAGTAACCCAAAAGCATAAGGTCAGGTTTTACTTCCACTAAAACCAGGCACTCCTGCCACTGTGGCTATACTTACAAACATTACCTTCACCTCTTCAGTTTAGTAGTACCTGGTAAATACAGGTAACACAGAAATACGGAACTCAAAGGTGAGTGGGTATCAGGACATATTTGGGACAGGCCCAGATGTTGGAGTTCAGAATCCCTCTCTACTGCCTACTGGGCCAGTGACTTTGGATAATGGGTTTTGTCTCCCTGTCAAACCTTAGAATTCCTCATTTTTAAGACAGGACAGGACAGGCGTGATGGCTCATGCCTATAATCCTAGCACTCTGGGAGGCCCAGGCAGGCGGATCACCTGAGGTCAGGAGTTTAAAACCAGCCTGGGTAACATGGTGAAACCCCATCTCCACTAAAAATACAAAAAAAATTAGCCAGGTATGGTGGCAGGCACCTGTAATCCCAACTACTCAGGAGGCTGAGGTAGAAGAATTGCTTGAACCTGGAGGCGTGGTGAAGGTTGCAGTGAGCCAAGATTTCGCCACCGCACTCCAGCCTGGACAACAGAGCAAGACTCCATCTCAAAAACAACAACAACAAACCCTGTAGTGGGTGACTTGAAGGGATACTTGGCTGAATGAAGTGAATGAAGTGACCTGAATTTCTGCAACAGCAAGTCAAGGCCATTCTGTGTGCAACAATGAAGCAATACTTCTCAGTGTAGTCCTGGACCAGCATCACTGGCCTCGCCTGGGAAGTTATTGGCAAAGCCCAATCTCAGGCCCTTCCCTCAGGCCCACTGCATCAGAAACTCAGTAGGGAGGCTCAGCACTCTGTGTTCCAACAATCCCTTCAGGGAATGCTGATGCACATTCAGGTTTGAGAACCACTGGCATAGAATGATCTGAGATCTCAAGGCTTAAACCAACCTTCCCAGAAAGCATACCCAGGGACCAGCCAGTTAGAAAGGAAAGGAAGGCTTCAGTAACCTCTGACTTTCAACCAGCTTTAGTGGGAAGATAGTGTTAGCTCTCACACTGCTGAACTCCAATTGTGAATCTCATGCTGCTTCTGGAATAAAAAGGGAGGACAGCAAAACACTTCCTGGTTCTCCGCAAAATGCCAAGATGGGCTCCTGAGGGCCAGGAGCCATGTCTAATACATCGGTGAGTCTGCGGTAAACCCAAGGCCTGGCAACCAGAAGCATCAGAAAAGGTGGGAGTAACTGGCCCAGGAGGGAATAAAAAGCAGCCCTTCCTAAGAGTGTGGGTCCCAAGGACTGAACAAGGTGACTGTCTCCCTCAGTCCCAAACACACAATGATGTTAGCTCCTAAACAAGAAGGGGCAAGGACTTTGAGGAGCTGACTCTAGCTAGCTGCCCCAAGCCCCACAACTGCCAAGCAGAAGACTGAAGGCCCAGATCACTCCCTTACTCCACCTCCCCACTCACCCAAAAACCCAAGCTTGCCAGAGGTCATGTCCACAGATCACATTCACCCTTGCCAGAGGTCAGGGTACCCCAGCCCTTGGCGGTGGGCCAGAAGTGTGACTTGTCCTGATGGAGCACATGCCCCTAAACATCCCAAGACTAGTGGCAGTGTCCCCCAACCCTGGAGGCCCTCCATCACCATCACTGCAGCATCACCACCCTCCAACCCCAGGTCCCACGCTGGCACTTCCATACCTGTAGTAAGAGAGCAAGCCATTGCCCAGCACGAACCAGCGGCGCTGGTAGCCCTTCAGATAGTTGGTCCACTTGAGGAGCCAGCCCTCGAAGCTGTCCAGAGGCATTAAGGCCAGTGGGGCACTGGAGGTCGCACCAGACCCCGACATTGGAACCCCAACAGGAGTCTTCGCCTGTCCTGGTCGCAGAAGAGGCAAGGGCTTTAACGCTGGCAGCGACCCCGACTCGGGTCTGAGAAAGGGCACGCTCCCCACTGCCCGGGAGAGCGGCTCTGATGCGGCCTTGGTGAAGGGCCCAGCCCTTACACCTGAACTTGAATCTGACCCTGGCCGCGACCCCTGCAGCAGTTCCGATGCCTGCCCAGCCCCTGGCTCCGGCTCAGACGTTGTGTCGGACACAGGCTCCGATCTTGGCACTGCCTCCGAAACTGCCTCTGACACCTGTTCTGACAGCGGTCCCCGCTCCGGTTCGGGCACCGGCTGGAGATGGGGCTTGGGCTCCGGCCCAGAGCCAGATGTGGAAGCGCTCATTCCCGGCGCCGCCGTGTGGCACGACAGGCAGGGGACGACCGTGAACAGCGAAGAGAGTCCGCGGGAGCGGCCGCCACAGCCGGCGCCTCGACTCGGAGCGGCCGCTTTCCCCATAGAGCCGGCCGACCCGCGCGCGGCCGAGCGGCCAGTGGGGGCGGGGGGCAGGCCGGGGGCGGGGCCGGGGGCGCAGTCACGTGCGCGCGGCGCGAGGCGGGGGCGCGCTCGGGTCCCTCCGCGGCCCCGTGCGCCCCGCGCCCTCCAGCGCCCGCCGGCTGTGGTGCTCTCGGCCAGCCGGGGGCCAGGTTTGACCCCAGGTGCGCCGTCGGTCCGGCAGGTGGAAGGAGCCTTGGAAACACCTGTGGGCGGAGAGCTCCGCGGGCGGGCGGGAGACGCGGAGGAGATGGCGCGCTTCAGGCCACGGTCCCTGCTGCGGCTCAGCCCGTGCCAGGCGCTGGAGGAACAATGATGAATGCGGAGCCCGCCAGCTCCCAGCGCAGCTCTGCCCACGGGGCCCTGCGCCGACGCCCCCTCCCCCAATCCCGGCTGGGATGGGTTCGCTCTCCGCCACCCAGGAAAGCCTGGCGGGAAGCAGGTACGGCACCCAGAAGCCATGAAATGCGCACGATGCACAGGAGCCCCAATCCGGGTGGCGTTCAAAGCTGAGGACGACGCCCCCGCCTCCCATGGCAGCCATTACCTGTCTGTGGGTCGTTCCTGCGGCCACCAGGAGCGGTGGCCCTAAGCCGCCGCCCCCGCCGCCTCCACCTCCTGAGCCAGCTGGCCTACGGTTCATGCCAGGGAGCTTTGCTACAAGTGGTGACATCGTTAGGGTTCTTGAAACAAATATGGGAAGACTTTGTAAACCAAGCGTTTTAGTACAAGAAACCCATCTCAAACCAGGGTTCTTAACTTGGACCTCCTGGGATCCCTGGGTAGGCTGTCTGTGAGGCTTCCGCGGTAGTTGTGAAGGTTTACTTATCTGTGCATTTTTCCAGAGTAGGTCACAGTTTTCATGGGATTCCCAAAGAAGCCTGGGACCCCAGAATGGTTAAAACATCAGTGACTTTTTTTGCTTTTTGCTTTTTTTTTTTTTTTTAAAATAGATGGAGTCTCCCTCAGTCTCCTAGGCTGGAATGCAGTGGCTGATCTGGGCTCACTGCAGCTTCCGCCTCCCAAGTTCAAGCGATTCTCCCGCCTCGGCCTTCCTAGTAGCTGGGATTACAGGAACCCGCACCACACCCAGCTAATTTTTGTATTTTTACTAGAGACAAGGTTTCACCATGTTGGTCAGGCTGGTCTTGAACTCCTGGCCTCAGGTGATCCGCCCATCTCAGACTCCCAAAGTGCTAGGATTACAGGCGTGAGCCACCGTGTCCAGGCATCGGTGATTTTTTTTCTTATGAATTTATCCAAATGGGGAAAGTTGATGGTTACTACAAATAATCAGAAATACACATGGAAAGATTGCATATTGGGTTTCTGTCCAGACCTTTCCAGCTTAGACCTGTCTGCAAGTTCCCCTTAGCTCATCATCACATCATACTCTCCCCTTACCCACCTATTCATTCCTGATCTTTTCTTGTGACAAGATAACCTGTGTAGGGTCTGCCTCCTAAATGAAGTGGTCCCCAGAAGGAAGCAGATTGGAAGGTCCTAGAAATATGAGGTGTAGACATGGACCGAACAGGTGCCCCTGGCATCTTTGCTTATGACTTTAAGACCCCCTTCCTCAGACACTTGTCTTTGAATGGTGGTCTTACCTGCTATTTTGCTGTGAGCTCTGGAGTGCAGAGAGCTGCCCATTTATTCCATATGTATGACAGTGACCCTCAAACTTCAGTGTGCTGAGTCACCCCAAGGAAAGGAGATTGCCTCTGGGTGCACTGGGGGACAGACCTGGACAACTGGGAAATGAGGTGGAATGCTTGCTTTTCACTTACACTTTGAACTTTTTGTATGTTTCACTGTGTGTATGTTTCACCTATTCAAAATAATAATTGTTAAAATCACCCAAGGGAGGTTTATTAGAAATTCACTTTTCCATCCCCAGTAAGTCAGAGGTGGAATCCAAGAACATGCTTTTTCTTTTTTCTATTTTTGAGACCAGGTCTTCCTCTGTCGCCTAGTCTGGAGTGCAGTGGTGCATTCATGGCTCAATGCAGCCCTGACCTCGAGGAATCAAGTGGTCCTCCCACCTCAGCCTCCAGACTAGATGAGACTGCAGGCATGTGCCACCACACATAGCTAACTTTAAAAAAATTTTTTTTCTTTTAAATTTTTTATTATTTTCTTTAATGACGGGGTTTCACCATATTGGTCAGGCTGGTCTTGAATTCCCAACCTCAGGTGATCCGCCCGCCTTGTCCTCCAAAGTGCTTGGATTACAGGCGTGAGCCACCACGGCTGGCCAAAAAAATTTTTTTTGTAGAGATGGAGTCTCCTATGTTGCCCATACTGGTCTCAAATCTCTGGGCTCAATGAATCCTCCCATCTTGGCCTCCCAAGTTGTTGGGATTACAGGCATGAGCCACCTTGCCCAGCCAGGAACACGGATTGATTGATTGATTGATGGGATCTCTGTTGCCCAGGCTGGAGTGCAGTGGCACGATCTTAGCTCACTGCAACTTCCACCTCCTGGGTTCAAGTGATTCTTGTGCCTCAGCCTCCCAAGTGTAGCTATGACTACAGTCATGTGCCACCATGCCCAGAAAATTTTTGTTTTTTTAGTAGAGACAGCTTTCGCCATGTTGACCAGGCTGGTCTCAAACTCAGGTGATCCATCCGACTTGGCCTCACAAAGCACTAGGATTACAGGCATGAACCACCTGGTCTGGCCAGGAACATGCGTTTTAATGATTTCCCAGGGGTTTTGCATGTGAGTGGATCATGGAGCATATGTTGATGGACAGTGATATGAAGGAAACATCTAGGGCTTTGGGAGTCAGACCTACTAAAGAAATCCTAGCTCGGCCACTCCCTTGCTGTGGGTCCTTCAGTGACCCCATTGAGCTTCTGCTTGCTCATCTGTAAAATGAGGATAATAACAATTACCTCTCAGGTTGTAATAAATCATGTATGTAAAATATATTTGACATACTAAGCGCTCAGTAAATATTCTCTAGTCATTTACTAGAGAGTTCTGTGAAATATTTGGTGAAATGAACTAAACAGAGGCCACAGCAGGAGATGAGACCAAAGTTGACAAGCCTGGGAAATATTCACAATAGGCAAAGCTCAGTGCCTGCTATGTATGCATCAGATGTGTTTGTAACCCTTAAGGAGGGAAGCTGTCTAGTAGACAAATACTTAGGGATATGTTTTGACTGCTACAATAAATTGCCAAGCTCCCTAAGATGACAGGCCTGCCATCTTCATTAGTTCTGCCAAACTGAGTGAAGAAGGAGTCACAGAAGGGACAATGTTTGCATTGAGTCCAAGGGATAAGGAGTGAAAGGGCCTTCAAGGCGAAGGAACCAATGTACTCTAAGTCCTGCGATGGGAGAGAACAGCTTGTCTGGGAAGGAATAAATAGCTCTTCATATTTGGAAGAGTAAGACAGGAGATGGCACAGAGAGTTGGGTGGACACCACACGGTGAGGGAAGCTCTTTATCCTACAGAAAGAAGGACTCCTGGGGACAAAGGAAATTTTCTACTGACTACAAGTCTGGGGCAGGAACTATGCAAGATGAGGCTGCCTGGGACATTTTGTCATGCCAGAAAGTGAAAAAGCTATTCAAGACTGCTGTTGTGTCAGCACTCAGAAGCCAACTTAGAGGGGCTCACAGTGGCCAAAGGTGGAGAGTATGAGCAAAAAGAATAATGACTGCAACGGACTAAAACATTTTCAACTACATAAAAATCCATAAATTAAACTAGTTCCTAAAGTTACAAGAAAAAAAAGAAAACTAAAACCCACCTTATTGGTCATATGTGGAGGTTACCACAGTACCCATTCATTATTTTGAAAATTGAAAAAGGGAAAGAATTAATTCTGTATCCTATCCTCATTGTTGAAACTGTATCTCTTAGTAACAAAGATTTCATGAAGGAAAAATGCATATAGAAGAATTAGCTAGATCAGGTGCAGTTGCTCACACCTATAATCCCACACTGGGAGGCCAAGGCAGCTGGATCCCTTGAGCCCAGAAGCTCAAAACCAGCTTGGGCAACATAGTGAGACCCCATCTCTACAAAGGAAAAAAAATAGCTAATAAATGCAGAAGGAGGCCCCATGCAGTGGCTCACGCCTGTAATCCCACCACTTTGGGAGGCCAAAGTAGGTGAATTGCCTGAGTCCAGGAGTTTGAGGCCAGCCTGAGCAACATAGTGAAAACCCATCTCTACAAAAAGTACAAAAATTAGCTCGGTGTGGTAGCATGTGCCTGTGATCCCAGCTACTCAGGAGGCTGAAGTGGGAGGATTACATGAGCCTGGAAGATGGAGGTTGCAGTGAGCAGAGATCATGCCACTGCACTCCAGCCTGGGTGATAGATCAAGACCCTGTCTCAAAAAAATAATAATAATAAATAAAAATAATAAATGCAGAAGGAATTACAGAATTAGAAAAAAAAATTATCTTTGCCAACTGCTTTTTTTTTTTTTTTGAGACGGAATTTCACTCTTCTTGCCCAGGCTGGAGTGCAATGGGTAAAAGTAATTCTCCTGCCTCAGCCTCCCAAGTAGCTGGGATTACAGGCATGTACCATCACGTCCAACTAATTTTGTATTTTTTTAGTAGACATGGGGTTTCTCACCAGGCGCAGTGGCTCATGCCTGGGAGCATGAGTAATCCCAGCACTTTGGGAGGCTGAGGCAAGTGGATCACAAGGTCAAGAGATCTAAACCATCCTGGCCAACATGGTGAAACCCCGTCTCTATTAAAAAAATAATAAAATAAACAAACAAATAAATAACAAATAAAAAAAAGAGATGGGGTTTCTCCGTGTTGGTCCGGCTAGTCTTGAACTCCCGACCTCAGGTGATCCACCCGTGCCCATCGTGCCCAGCTGCCAACTCCTAATAAAATACTGTAATGGATCAAGGTAACAATCACCAATAGTTACTAAGTGATGGGGTTGATGGGGAACTTCATCAAGGATCAGGCTGACATCAGCTGATTCTACCTGTTGATCTTAGCATCACCAAAATACAACAGGATATTATGTGCTTCCCCATGTGACCAAGTAGGAAAAACAGCACCATCTATGATTATTTTTATACCACCTACCTCCATTCAAAACACTAAACCTGTTTAGTTTTTAGTTTGAACAGTACTTTTAAAATGCAGGGGACAGAGGAACATGCTAAATGACCCAAGGAGTCAATCAGTCAGATCCAAAATTAGAAACATCTGCCTCTTAATGATCAGTTTTATTCAATAAATGGCCTAAAAAAGGATATGAATCGGAAAATGTTATCAAGTTTAAAAAGACATATTCCGGGCACAGTGGCTCACGCCTATAATCCCAGCACTTTGGGAGGCCGAGGCGGGTGGATCACGAGGTCAAGAGATTGAGACCATCCTGGTCAACAAGGTGAAACCCTGTCTCTACTAAAAATACAAAACTTAGCTGGGCATGGTGGTGTGCGCCTGTAATCCCAGCTACTCGGGAGGCTGAGGCAGGAG